TCTTCTTTCTTTCTTTCTTTCTTTCTTTCTTTCTTTCTTTCTTTCTTTCTTCTTTCTTTCTTTCTTTCTTTCTTTCTTTCTTTCTTTCTTTCTTTCTTCTTTCTTTCTTTCTTTCTTTCTTTCTTTCTTTCTTTCTTTCTTTCTTCTTTCTTTCTTTCTTTCTTTCTTTCTTTCTTTCTTTCTTTCTTTCTTCTTTCTTTCTTTCTTTCTTTCTTTCTTTCTTTCTTTCTTTCTTTCTTCTTTCTTTCTTTCTTTCTTTCTTTCTTTCTTTCTTTCTTTCTTTCTTCTTTCTTTCTTTCTTTCTTTCTTTCTTTCTTTCTTTCTTTCTTTCTTCTTTCTTTCTTTCTTTCTTTCTTTCTTTCTTTCTTTCTTTCTTTCTTCTTTCTTTCTTTCTTTCTTTCTTTCTTTCTTTCTTTCTTTCTTTCTTCTTTCTTTCTTTCTTTCTTTCTTTCTTTCTTTCTTTCTTTCTTTCTTCTTTCTTTCTTTCTTTCTTTCTTTCTTTCTTTCTTTCTTTCTTTCTTCTTTCTTTCTTTCTTTCTTTCTTTCTTTCTTTCTTTCTTTCTTTCTTCTTTCTTTCTTTCTTTCTTTCTTTCTTTCTTTCTTTCTTTCTTTCTTCTTTCTTTCTTTCTTTCTTTCTTTCTTTCTTTCTTTCTTTCTTTCTTCTTTCTTTCTTTCTTTCTTTCTTTCTTTCTTTCTTTCTTTCTTTCTTCTTTCTTTCTTTCTTTCTTTCTTTCTTTCTTTCTTTCTTTCTTTCTTCTTTCTTTCTTTCTTTCTTTCTTTCTTTCTTTCTTTCTTTCTTTCTTCTTTCTTTCTTTCTTTCTTTCTTTCTTTCTTTCTTTCTTTCTTTCTTCTTTCTTTCTTTCTTTCTTTCTTTCTTTCTTTCTTTCTTTCTTTCTTCTTTCTTTCTTTCTTTCTTTCTTTCTTTCTTTCTTTCTTTCTTTCTTCTTTCTTTCTTTCTTTCTTTCTTTCTTTCTTTCTTTCTTTCTTTCTTCTTTCTTTCTTTCTTTCTTTCTTTCTTTCTTTCTTTCTTTCTTTCTTCTTTCTTTCTTTCTTTCTTTCTTTCTTTCTTTCTTTCTTTCTTTCTTCTTTCTTTCTTTCTTTCTTTCTTTCTTTCTTTCTTTCTTTCTTTCTTCTTTCTTTCTTTCTTTCTTTCTTTCTTTCTTTCTTTCTTTCTTTCTTCTTTCTTTCTTTCTTTCTTTCTTTCTTTCTTTCTTTCTTTCTTTCTTCTTTCTTTCTTTCTTTCTTTCTTTCTTTCTTTCTTTCTTTCTTTCTTCTTTCTTTCTTTCTTTCTTTCTTTCTTTCTTTCTTTCTTTCTTTCTTCTTTCTTTCTTTCTTTCTTTCTTTCTTTCTTTCTTTCTTTCTTTCTTCTTTCTTTCTTTCTTTCTTTCTTTCTTTCTTTCTTTCTTTCTTTCTTCTTTCTTTCTTTCTTTCTTTCTTTCTTTCTTTCTTTCTTTCTTTCTTCTTTCTTTCTTTCTTTCTTTCTTTCTTTCTTTCTTTCTTTCTTTCTTTCTTTCCTTCCTT